CAGGGCGCACCAGCTGCGAGGCTATATCGCGCCCATTTCTTATTCTTTACCGAATTAAATTTCATGCCTTATCAAATCTACCTTTTCTATTCCAGATTCTTCTCCTATGTCCCATCTTAGGATTTTCAGACCTCCACACCCTTCTCCAGACCTTGATCTCTGCCCCTTACGTCGACCTTTATTTCACATCCAATCATTATCTCTCCCCTGTTCCCCGCGACAAGTTATCCTCCTCCCTTCTTGGGCCCTCTCCGTGACCCGACTTGTCCTCCCTTCCTCCCTCAGTCTTCCCGTGACCGACCTGGACCGACCAGCTGCGCGCCACACCACTCCGTGCCCGGTTGTAGGTCCGTGTATACGTTCCAGATCCACCTGCACCCAAGCGGGGACCACTGCGGGTGAACGTCCCGGCGTGGCCCGTAGAGAATATCCAGGTAGGAACCTGCGCGTCATAAGGCACAGGTCAGGTTAGGGTTAAAAAAGTCAGGTTAAGGTAAGCTAGCCTTTTTAGCGGGTGGTGTTAGGTTAGAGTAAGAGGTTAGAAGGTTCGGCCCCAGGATTAGAACTCAACGCAAACAAAGCGGCCAGAGTGGCGTGACGTATTCAGCCAGCGGTCGCCGTGCTCAGTCGAAAGTCAGAGAAACGTGTTCTGGTGAGAGCCAGACGGGTGTTAGGAGTTAGTTTATTTATTAAATAAATATCACATAGCTTCATTTCAGTCGTCCTTTACGTCACACGAAAGGAATCATGCGAGGCAGCCAGCTCTCGTCGAACTTTGGCGCTAGCACTTACATAAGCCGAAAAGAAAGACCAGTCAAATTCACCGTGTCGACAGTGTGGTGCACGGATTTGCCATAGGTCATACCTGTCACAAAAGTCAGCGCGCCACCGTGGCAGCCTAGCCGTAGATCGTGAATCAGTCCGGTTCAGAACATTGCTGCTTCAGCTATTAGTCATCGGTGACGACAGGAGCAAGTAACACCGACAGATAATACGCACTCGCAGCCTCGCTCCTTTCCTGTCATTCTTGACATGTCTCGCTAGACATTTTCTAGGCCATTGTTTGCTATGTTCAATATCACACTGGTAGGAAATGAAAAGACTAAGATGCTGAAAGGACTGATTGGTAGATGGAAGCATGCAGCTAACCATGCTAGGCCTGACAGAAGCAGGTGTTGTAGAGCCCAAGCAGACCCCTCAAAGACCCCTCAAAGCAGACTGTCCCCCTTTCACCACCACCATACCCTTCTGACGCGGAGGCCATGTCGTGGTGTGTCCTGCTGCGACTCCGCTGTGGTCGGAGGATCCTCGGGAGCGACCGTGCTGGAGACTGGAGTCGCCGTGCTTGTAGGAGCGGCCGTGCTTGTGGAAGGAGCTGTCGTACTCGAAGAGATATCATCCGTGCTCGGGACACCGTCGTCGCCGGAGCTACTCGGCGTACCAGTCTTGAAATGAGCGGCTGGAGAGGTCGGGACAGCCCGGCCAGAGTCCATGCTGGTTCTTGTTTGGTTGTCTTTCTGCGTTGGCATGAACATCGAAAGTAGAGGAATGTGCCTTCCAGCAGCGTCCGAGAGCGTTTTGGCGAAGTCTTGCCACAAGTCTGGGAGAAAACTGTTCGCAGGGATGGTACTGTTCTTTGTCTCTGTGTGGTTTGTTGTGCTGTTAGCGAACGAGGTAGTTCGTGTAACAATCACGGTGCTCGTGTTTCCTCCCCAAGGCCTTTGGCTCATTTTGCCTGTCGGAAAATCACTTGCATCGCTGATATTGGCGTTAAGCAAATCAGCCTTATGATGCCGCGGCTTGTAAAATATAACTTCGTTGAACCAGAACTTTGTGGTTGGAGAACTCGGCTCTGGAGAAGGAACTGTGGATCTGGGGGGTGACGCTGTCGTAGTGGCTTTGGTGTCGTTTGTATCCAAGTTTCCGGACGCCTTATCGAGAGAAGTTTGGCCGGTTTTCGCTGAATCTGGCGATGTTTTCGAGACCGTTCTTGACATCTTGCTGCTGCCCTGGAAACACAAAATATGCGAAGTTATTTACTATAAAACAGCAGCAGGCGAATTTCGTACGGTAAACGGTTGTTACGAGCGAGCGAGCGCAGCGAGCGAAGTGAGTCTTTTCAATATAACGGAAAAATCTCAGTATGAGCGGCCCGGCCCGGCCCGGCCTGTAACGCTTTTGAGAGGCTTATATCTCAGCAACCGCTGGACCGATTGGCCTGCGGTCTTTTTTGTTGGGTAGCCCCATCCCTTCTACCCCGTAATTGACTACTTTTGATACATCTCAGCGACCATCGTGGCACGTGCCACGTGAAAAGTCAAGGGTGTTCAAGCTGTTTTGCAAAAAGTAGTGATTTTGAGAGGCTCATATCTCAGCAGCCGTTTGGGCGATTGACTTGCGGTAATTTTTGTAGGGTAGCAGCATCCCTTCTACCCAAAACAGGATACTCTCGATGCATGTGGGTCACCCCCCAGTGCACGTGCAAAATACAACAATAAGAGGTGCCAAATTTGTTCCCATTTCAGTAACTCGGTAATTACTGGGGCGATTTCGCTGAAACTTGGCATACAGGTAGGCACCCACCAGGCAATGCATTCCCATGTGTTGCGGTTAGGGTGCTACTGCACGTGCGCACGTGCAGGGGGCGCTCCCAGATCTCGAGAACGGCTGGGCCGATTGCGCTCAAATTTGGTACACGGCTGGGGACCAGTTAGTAGGGTGCCGTGCAAAAGTCAGTTTGGACCCCGCTTGCACGTGCGCACGTGCAGAATGCCGCTTCCAGATCTCAGGAACGGCTGGGCCGATTGCGTTCAAATTTGGCATACCGCCAGCGACCGGTTAGAAGGGTGCTTTGCACAAGCCCGTTGTAAGTACCCTCTCGCCCTTCCGCACGTGCAGGGCTCACTATCTCGCTCGCTCGTTCTTCGCCCAAAAGGCGTTTTACTGGTGTTTATAATTACCTTGTAATTGAACTCATTATTTATCGAGTACCTACACGGAACCTGCGCATAGATCGGGGAGGTCAATTCGCCTGCAACATCAAATCTAAAGAAATGTCATATCAAACGTTTTGCACAGATGCTGCTGAAGTTTCACTGTTTTGCTGCAGGACTTTCTGTCAGGCAATCACGCTTTCGTCACCGCTACTGCCTACAAAATCACGTCGCGGACAACAGCCACTGTGCGGCACGTCAACCTTCTGATACGTGCCTTTTGATATACTGGCACAAATGCATGCCGACGTGCGCCGCCGAGCGAGCGGCGTGGCTTTCGCCGAGCATGTACGCAAGGTAGCAGCCCATGACATGCCCCATGGAATGCCACCGTGACAGGCTGAAGAGTGAAGACCATGCATTTCGTGAACATAAGAAGTTAAAATAAACTGTAGCATAGGTATAACCTAACTGTGACATAAGTGCCACGATCTGGCGTCCCCAACGTAAATGTCCCAACTCCCATCCATGTAACCCGGTTAGATTTCGTTCGTATAAATCATGCGACCTTGTTCCCTGAACTTATATACATTTGATACAATAATCAAACGTCTTGACTCTTGAGAATCCCGACTAGCAATTGGTATGAAATGTAGGTACGGAGTTAACTGTTAAGCCCACGACCAACCAGTGTGAGTTTTGAGTGGAACTCACCCCGTGCTAAATTGAACTCACAACGAGCCGAGTTTAACTCACCAGGTAGCTGAGTTTCAGCCAGTCGTGTCCCGTCAGCAGCAGGGTCAGCGTCACGGCCAGCGAGAGGACGATCAGCAGGCTGAGCACAATCAGCGTGCAGAGACACTGTGGAGACAGAGAAGGGATGTCAGATCAGCACCCTGGTCAGTGTACAGGGACAGGGGACATCAGATCAGCCCCTTGATCAGCGTACAGACAGGGACGGGACGGGCGTCAAAGTCCTCTGATCAGCATGCAGAGACAGAGACAGAGACAGGACGTCAGATAAGACGATCAGCGCGCAGAGATAACACGTCCCTGTACTCTACATAGTGAATTGAATGCAAAAGCTTTGTGCCAAAGGTTACGACAGAAAACAAAAACAAAAGCGGTAGCTCTGATGCACCCCACCCTCTGAAGATCATACCTTTAGCCTTAGGTTAAAAAACGAGGACACATATGCGACATAAGACACGGTTCTAGTGTTCTGCGACCTCGTAAAAACTCACCGGCTTGCTGAGTCGCGCCGAGGACGGCTGGTGAGGTTCAGCACCACCCGTCTCGGCCCTCTTCTGAACATCGTACAGGGACGCGCTCTTCATGTTGACCCCGCTCTGCTCCTCGCCACCACCGACCACACAATGACCCTGCCGGCCGCGGACAGCTCTGTCCCTGGTCACGAGCGGGGGCGGGGACGGGGGCGGGAGGGGGTGAAATGTCAGGACAGGTGACGCCGCCCCGAGCCGTGCAAAGGTGACATTTGAACGATGACGCACCGCAGAGGACACGACCGATGTGAGCCCGGATTCGAGCTCACAGAGGGAAGAACTCAGTGCCAAAGTGCGAGTCGAGTCAATGATGGACTACTGTTCAAGTGCAGAGTCTATGATCGGTGTTTGACTTTGTTTGACATGACCGGAGGACTTGCTTTCAAACCAGTGCGCTGTTTGTTCGGACGTGAATGATTGACACTGATTGTTCGGAGATCGGCACGACTACGAAGCCCGTTCCCGAGGCATTGACATTGACACGGCACAGCTCGATGCCAACCGAAGTCAATGTCGCCGAGAGCTGAAGTCGAAGCCGTTGGTGCTTGCGGTTCAGCGCATAAGTCACTAAACCGCGGGCACCATCAATACAGCAGTTACCACTGGAGCGTCCAATCCCAGCACACTCTACAAAAGACAGTGACCCATTCGACTCGTTGAAGGCGAGGACAAAGGCAGTCAGCCATCATCTAGTGTCGCAAGATGCTTCCTGCCTAAATCACTGTCACTTAGATACTAACCAAACCGGAGCTATACCAAAAAAGTTTACTGTTAAACAGCGTAAGTGATTTGAACCATGACTGTATTCAATGGCGACATGCGGCGTGGTAAGTCAAATAACACTACCCACCAGCAGGCGGGTCACAATGCGGCCTTACAGGCGACCCCGAGCACACCTCCCCCCTCCCCCACCCCAGAACATGTCAGGTATTAACCCCCATCCCTCCCAGCACGTCAGGTATCGAGAATAAGTACACAACAATCAATCCCCCCCCCCCGACCCACCCCTGAAAGACGTCACATTATATGTACATTTGCCGGCGGTACAATGATAGTAGCAGCCGCTCAAAATTCGGTCACCAGTCCACCAAAAATACATACAATCCCGCCAGGGAGCAGCGTAGTCGCAACACAATACAATACCTAGAATAAATACTAGCAAGCAGTCGGCGGACGACGGGGTCCTTTGTAAGTTTGATTCGTCTACCATTCGGTACAAAGCGGTATAAAAAGATTGTGTTGTATCATAAAAGTACATCAAGTAACCGAATCTGAACTTTGGTTCACTCAGTGCGGAGATAAGCTGTATTCACGTCAAACACACGTGCCAGGCACGTGTTTTGTGCACGGGACGCACGGGACGCCCGTCCACCATTGAGATTCATGCAAGAGCACGCCTGTCAACGAGCACCACCCCTGGTCCCACCGTGTCGGCAGCGGATCCCCTTTGTAAAACACTCCCCATACACAGACACACACCCAGAGCTACAGCGAGCGGTGCGCGGAGCTCTACGCGATACTGCTGCCGTCCAGGTCTTCTAGTCCGTCTCCCATGGACAGCTGTGACTGGTCGTTTTCAGTGTCCACGGTGATAAGCAGTTTACGCTCGTCGCCCATCGGGGCCGGGCTGTCAATGTCCTGAAACACGACACAGGCGGAGGTCACAATAAATTAACGATGTGACATGGCACACAAGATGTATTACACTGAAAATAGCACAATTCTGGAAATTGACTCATCATAGTTATGCAAATGACCATCCGAAATTAATGCAGAGTAGACTGTAGAGAGAATCACCGCAGAAAAACGGAGCCATTAAAATACATTATGGAAGCTGGAGCTAGAAAAAGGGAAGCGAATGGCGCATTGTTTGTGAAAACACTGGCGACCCCCTGGTAGGCTCGACAGGCACAATACGATCACAACATTCAAATTTGAGCAGCAAACATACAACAAAGTCTAAAAAAAACGCTTGTTCATCTCGCACAAAACTGAATACCTCATTAAACTTCTGCCTGTCTTCTCCCCTTTCCACCGGGGGGAGGGGGAAGGGTCGACTAAAGGCTGAAACAGCCTCTTTCCGCATTCAGGAAATCGCATGCGAGAGCCTATTCAAATACATCATAATTCTTCCCGCATCAATCGCATGCGGGAGGTGCGTGCGATTGATGCGAGCGTGCTTCCATGCATTTGAATAGGTTATCGCATGCGATTTCCTGACTGCGGAAAGTCTGTTTCAGGCTTAACTCCCCAGACAGCCCACTGACCTGCTCCAGACCATCGGCGTCGTCACATTCGAGCGGCACCGGGTCAGCGTAAATGATCCGCGGCCCGGCGTCCGACTGGCCCGCCTCCTGGCGGCAGGACACAGAAACTCAGTTATACAAACACGCCGCAAATCTCACTGCGGCTACCGAATAGTGGGCAGATTCAGCGGCTGCTGTTTGACACACTACGCTTAACACTTTGACAGAGAAAAATACAAAGTAAAAACACCAAAAAGTTCATAACTGAATATTTTGACATTGGTAGCCATCTGATTGTTACAACGAACATTGGCCTACCTCACCCAGGCCGGGCCCGCGGGACCACGAAAATTGGACCACGTCCAACCATAGTCATCCCCCTCGTGGTCTACCCATTCATCCACCATCGATTTTATCCTCCCCACCCACCAGACCCCTACCGCATGTCCTCACCTCCCGTCAGACCCAGGTCACCGCTCCCTCAACCCTCCCCCGATATAACTCGTCCCTACCAATCCGCACTCACCAGTCACCACCCCTCCACTCACCAATCCGCACTCACCAGTCACCACCTTCAACAATCCGCACTCACCAGTCACCACCCTCACCAGTCGACACTCAACAGTCACCACCCTCACCAGTCACCAGTCACCACCCGTCACCAGTGATCTCGTCACTCACCCGTCCATTCACCTTGAGGTGGGTCTTGGCGTGTTTGCTCAGGTGGTCGGAGCGCATGAAGCGCTTGGAGCACTCGGGACACTGGAACCGCTTCTCTCCCGTATGGGTACGCTTGTGTCGCTGTGGAACGGGCGAGTCGATGGGTCAGATGGTGGAAAAGAAATACAGGAACATATGGACACAGGAAAGACAGCAAAAACTGGGGCTGTTGATTTTGTAGATATACCAACTAAATGTGATTTGTGGAACCTGAATGTAACCGTTCTGTAACCGTTCTAAAATGTGAACCGTTACATAGGCTGCTTGTAGCGCGATAGGAAGAACCGAAATCAATAGCAATCATCAGAACCGCTGGGACTAATAAAAACACGCACACCCCACTACGAAAGACCAGTGACTATAGCTGAGTCTGTCTGGTATGGTCTGTCCCCCTCTCCTCACCTGCAGTTCATCAGAGCGTGTGAACCGTTTGCCGCAGTAGACCCAGCTGCAGACGAACGGTCGCTCGCCGCTGTGCCAGCGCAGGTGGGCGCGCAGGTGGGACGTCTTGCCGTACATCTTGTTACAGCCGGGGATGTGACAGATGTGCACACGCTTCTTGTCAGAGTCCGGGTTGATCACTTTGCTGCAGGCAGGACGGAGTGATGGCGTTAGAAACGGTTGTTGGATTGAAATTCTTTGCAAAAATCCAAAGCGCTAGCAAGACAGCAACTGTCTGTAAGTAGCTGGCTCTCCTGTCCCAAAAACAAACAATCCATCAACCAATATGATCAAAAAGCGGATTACCGACTGCACATCGTTTATCATTTTAAGAAATCACAAGCATTACCGACTTTTTTTTTTTAGTGCATTTACTGTCAAATAAACAGCATTACTGCCACAGTCCAGTCATCCATCACACTTCCACCCTTCCGCGATCCGCCCACAAAAGATGCAGTAAAGAGCACATGAAACTGCATAAATAGCATATCAACTAGATCATTATCACCATTCTGAACCACAAGCCCTTCCGGCATGCCAGCGGTCGCCACCCACCACCAACCGAATACAGAGGCCGCGGAGACATTTACGTACAGATGGCCCGTCGTCGGCAACGCTCAAAGCGTGGCCCGCCCGCCGGCGGCCTCCACAGCCTGGCTCTCAAGCATTACCGACTTAACTTCAACCTCAATGTTAGGGAGTGATACCCTTCGAGTAGACTCAAGCGACCCCAATGTCCACCGCTCACATTCCCACCTCCCCCAGCGGTATCACCCCTCCCCAGATCGACCCCATCCCACTCACTTTCCATCCGTATCGCGGCAGTTTGGACACGAGCAGGCCACTCGGCGCAGCCTGGTCTTGGGCCCCGCCTCGTCTCCGCTGCTGGCGTCGGGCGACCCTGGCGGCATCTGAGCCACCAGCTGACCGCCCACCATCTGCATCTGGATAAGTTTGTTGCCGACATCGACCTCGGCAGGGGCGGGCACCACGGCCGGCGCTGCTGAGGTCGACCCGGCGGCTGGGGGAGGAAGAGAGGGTTATTGATGGCGGCACACCGCGGTGAGACGGGCGCTAAGTGGGTGAATCAGGGAGGAGTGAAATGAGCGAATAGTGCAGACACAACAAAATCCGTCCCATTTAGATTAACACTTTCAGCAACCAATGCGCTTCACAAACATTCACCGCTTTCCTACCTCCTCAACTCTCCGCTCCATCAATCTCACCATCGTCCCTTCACAATCGGCATCTCACCGATAGTTCCTAACGCCTTAATTACCTCTCTAGAACACCTCAACATCATTACTAACCATAACGCTCCCCGTCTGCGTCTCACCGACTCCGTAATACCTCAACTACCCCCTCAGGCTCTCACTCCCACTCACAACCAATACAACCCTCCCCGTCCCCATCTCACCGATAATCTGCGCCCCGCCGGGCAGTGTGTGTACAGTCTGTCCCGGCTGCTGCAGTAGCTGCTGCAGGCCCTGTGCCGATATCACCTGCACCGGACCCAGGCCAGGGATGTTCTGTATGCTGACCTGACCGCTCAGGGCCGTATTCATCACAGAGTTCAGGTTGGGTACCTGTCGGAGGCAGAGGGTGGGTTAGAGGGTCTGAGTCATAGGGGGATGGGCAGATGGTGGTAGGACAGTGGAGGACAGTCAGAGGGCTGTTCGGCTGCGCAGCCAAAATGAAATATGCTGCAGCACGCATGCGCAGTGAGGACTGCGTCGCCCGTTAGTCCCGCCCACACCACTGCGTCACCGCCTGTGTGACGTCACCTACTGAGGCATACTTCGCTTTCCTGCAGCACGAAATTCGGTGCTGCAGGAGGCGAAAGTGGCGCGGATTAAAGTTTGCCGTCCAATATTTCTTATTGCAAGCGGTTTGTATGCTGTTTTTTGGGTATCATTATCACTCTTTTCGGTGGCACATTGCTATTAACCACATTTGAGCGCAATTTAACAGTTATTCGAGCGAAAATCACCAGTCCACCCGCGCAACGGTTCGCCGCGTTTGAAATAGGCTGCAGCGACGCTCGGCCGCGGCGCGCCGGCGGAGAGTGGGCGGAGCCAGGCGGTTGACGTCACCCAAGTATGACGCACGCAGCACAGATCTATGCTGCAGGGACCCGAACAGCCCTCAGATAGATGGCAGCGCTAGCGGCAAAAAGTTGGGTCTGAGGTGGACGGTTTGGTTAGAGAGCGGGCGAGATACAAGACCGCGGCTTGGCCAGAGACGGCTAAGCTATGGAAAACAGCTGGGTCTGAGACAGCCGTCACATAATGGGACGGCTGGGTAAGGGTTAGAGGAAGATGGTGACATCAGCAAGACGAAGCGAGGCTACGAATGGGAGGAATCAAACAAATGGAATAACTTAAGCGGTGCCTTTCTCACCTGTATCAAACAAATAAATACAATATACCCATACACATTACACACACGAACAGTCTGTGTCCTAACTCCTACATGATATATCACTATGCTGGGAAATTACACTGGGTACAACTCCAAGCTAAGCCCAGCACCAAGCTCCTATCCCACGCCCGCAGCGCCCTCTGACCTGTAGAACATTAGAGCCACTGACGGTCGCTGCCTGGGAGCGGGCGGTCGCCTGCTGCTGCTGTTGCTGTTGCTGCTGCTGCTGCTGCTGCTGTTGCGAAATGGCATTGGTGCCCGGACTCCATACTGTCAGCTGCTGGGGGCCGTTCGGTCCTGCCGGGAGGACGCAGACACGGGTCAGACACAGGTCACGCCGCAAAATATCTTAAGATAGGGAGTAGAGGGCCGTTAAGACTTACCGAAAGGACAGAGGCACGGGGGAGATAAGCACAGGGCACGCCACATGGTATGATTAGACCGTGATTGAGTGGACATATCAAGCCCAGACAAACCACGATTTTTGGCGAGATTACATGAAGAAACGATGTTGTTCGTTACCGATTGATTGGTTAACATTTTTAGGGTTTATATAGCACGGATTAAAACATAATTGGTAAATCTTCTTGGTACTTTAGATTGAGTCTTTAACTTTGGCTTGCTTCGGCAGTGGCACTGTGACCTAAAGGTCAGCTGCTCCTGCTAAGCATTTCTTTTTATTGCTGATAGATTTTGGGAAAAAGGTACATAAGAAAAATACATTGTGAACTATCTTCAAAAGTGACCTACCCTACGAAATCACTTTCTTCTCGCCAGCTACATCAAATCAATTTTCTTTTCTTTTTGTAACGTTTTATCATCGCTGTTTTTCAGCTACGAAGAAAAGTATCAGAAGTTCAAGCACCCAATCACTATTTCGCTCCTCTACCATTTCTTTAAGCGAAAAACGTGTCATCAGGAGGCTGACATGTATTCAGCAGCTGCCATCCCTCATTCTCAAAACATCTTGAGAAAAACGACGATCCGCAATCAGGAAAACGTCCACAAAGGATGAAAATGAAAACGCGCGACAATGTTTCACTAACTACACAACACGCACAAGCGTGAGCTCCACCACACACCTCAAAACACCCATCATTTACCAGGAGAGCAGATCAGAGACCACCCCATCGGCGCGTCGCTTGACGAAACACACCCACTCAGGGAGAGCAGTGAGCTTATCGGACGCCCAGAACCTCCGCGCCGCCGAGGCTGTCGATTTCACACTGCCTACACCAACAGATCGCGAGTCACTAGCGGAAGGTGGTTTTCTACTGTCAGTTCCATCAGAGCTCAAGTCACTGGCGGAAGCTGGGTTCACATTGTTCACACCGTCAGAACAGGAGTCCCTCGATGGATCCACGTTGTCCACACCGCTAGAAGAGGAGTCACTGGCAGCCACAGTTGACTGACTTATACCCTCTTTTTGTCCCAGAGCGTTTTTGGAGGTTACCTTGTCTTCCCCATCAGCGTTCGCGTCTTTTACAGGCAGTGGACACCTTTCCAACTGTTCTGCAGTGTCAGGTGTAGCATCTCCAACACAGGTACCAGCCGCAGCGCCCGAGATTTTCGGCTCTCCGGCACCGTTTTCTACGGTTCCTGTCGGCTGACAGTGTTGGACATTATCTGCCAGTTCAGTTACTTTGTCGCCGTCTTTAGTGTCTGCTGTTCTTGGGAGATCACCAGCATCAACGTCTACGGGCGGTTTGATTGAGGCGTGTTCGTTTCCGACCGTAATCGGTTTGTCTGTATCGATTTGATCAGCAGGCTGGCACTTGTGGTTTTCTTCCGTGACCACAGTTCCTGTCTTGCTACTCTCCAACTCAGCATTTGACCGAGTGATTGAAGCTGTTTCCTTTAGTTTCACCGGTTTCACCTTTTCTTCCGTCTGATCGCCACCGCTCACTTCTGCAGTTCTTCCGGCGTTATCAGTCTCCGACCCTCCCAATGACGGCTGGTCCTCTTCCCTCTTCATCTCTTCCGCTCTCTCTGCCGGTCCTTGTTCCCCTCTCAAGTCCCCCATCCCTCTCCTTCCTTCATCCCCGCCACTCTCCCTGAACGGTCGACAGTCGGCGGTGTCCGCCAGCTCGCCGTACCTCTCCAGCAGCCGTCCCTGCTGCTCTGCCGTCACACAGACCACGTAACGAGCCGTCTCCACCGCCACAGTAGCACCGTTTCGCAGGCAGGCGGTCACAGGAGGCGTCAGAAGGTGACTCATACCGCTGGAGAACACAGCAGCCGCGAAACGGCCACGGAAGGCCGCGCGACGGGTCAGCGCCGCGCCGCCGTCCGCCGGTAAGAACCGCACCCGTATGTGTGAGGCTGTAGATAGCGATGTAGACATGCTACTGAAGAGAGCTTCTAGATTGGCGGCGCTGACTGTGGCGGCCGTGGCGACTAGACGGCCGTTCTGCTTCCGCGCCAGGCTCGGGTCATCAGAGCGCAGACCGTAAGGTGCGTATGGACCGGAGACGATGTCTCCCCAGTACCCGCGGCGCAGCTGCCGCTCGCCGGGCCGGCCGAGCGCACGGACCGTCACCAGTGTTTTGTTCGGACACGTCTGCTCGGTGCCAGGGCGTCTAAACGCCACACCCGTCTCGCGCCAGTGTTTGTACTCTTCCGGCTGAACAAACTCAACTTCCAGGCGGTCCTTGAGACGCATGTAGTAGTCCCAGTCGAAGACACCACTGCGCGCGTCGTACCGCTGAGCCAGCTGCTGGCGCAGACGCAGGTCCCACATGTGTGCTATGTCTATCTTGGGGTCAGAGGACCGCCAGAACTGGAACACCGCTACAATCTGGTCCCGCTCGCGGTGGCGCAGCTCAGCGAGCGAGACGAGCGGTAGTGCGGCGCAGTCGTCACCGCCCGTCACCAGGTCAATCAGCTTTGTGGCCGTCTCGGCGATATAACGGGCCGTGCTCGGCCGAACCAGAGTGTTGCCGACGATCTCAAGGAACATCCACACCTTCTCCTGCAGACCTACACTATCGGCCGGTTCACACAGCAGCCACAGCAGCAGCAGTTGGCGGGCGTACACTTCAACGCTGTTCTCCAATACATAAAAATCCACCGGTCGGTTGGAGTGATGCAGCGCTTCTGGCAGATTCTGAAGAATATGACACAGATCGGGCACGCCAGCGAACAGAACGCTAGCGGCATCACACCCATCCTTGTTCCAGAAATCGAAGGCACCCGGGTCGGAACCTTCCACGGTGAAGTCGATGGCCGGAGAGAATCCCCATAGGGCGATAGAGCCCATGGCGCTGGCGGCGTCCATAGCCATTGTCAAAGACCGATAGGCGGCAGGTAACGACCGTCAGATTCACCGATCAAATATGGCGACACAGCTGTTGAGACTCTTGAAACTTAAAACGATGCACTGCACTGGCCAACCATTTCTCGCATTGGCAATGGAATCCGTACCGAACAAACCGAATGACAAACCGGCGTCAACTACCATACTCGAGTCGCACGAGACTTCGCAGTTCGATAAAGCGGTGACGCCAGCGCGTTGCCATGACAACAGCACCCCAGAGTCACAGATCCACCAGCCCGCTGAAAAAGCGGCGCATGGCTGTGCGTGCCGTTTTCCTGATAGTCAATACCGAAGATAGTACCCATTCTCCCGTGTCATCACACGTAACACCTCGCAAATTCATCTAGAGCAGCGAGTCCAGTCGTATCCCAGCAGCATACGAAACATGTGTATTCACTATTCACGCAGTTCGCACCGTCAAACCCATCCGTGCTGCGTGAGTCTCTTAGGACATCTCAGGGACATCTCTTTCCAAGGACCATTCTAATCACATCCTACCGCCCACTCTCAGAGGACACCATTGCGGCGGATTATCCCGAATATGCGCCGCAGCGCACTGCGAGCCGCGGGCGGCAGAGTCCGGTGACTCATCCGACCTCGGTCGTCCGCCGTCCCGTCCCGCGGTCGAGTGACGACAAAACCAGTTCCCGGGGGCCCCGTGCGCCAGCGTCCGCACTGCGTTGCTCAAGTGGCGTATGGTTTGCGCACTGCAGGACGGAAATGACAGCGATAGGCTTCTACCGTGGAGTGGGCGACGCTGCGCAGAATGTGTAACGGTGGAAGCTGATAGCGACATATGGTCTGCAGTAGCGGATGTGGATGGATTGGTATATATACATGGTTCGTGCTATGGCGGTTGTAAAATAAACGGCTGAGGAAGGATCAGACACCATATAACGCTTTAGAACAGAAAAGAAATAAAGGATGATACTTGATCCACAATACTTAAATTATCTTTTTTTTTTGGTACTGCTGATTTGAACTGATGTTATTAAAATCTTAACAACCTATCAATAATGAAATAGAAAACGTGCACACTGAGCCTAAAAAAAATTATTTCAAATATCGAAAGCCAGTAATAACTAATACATAAAGAAAAGACAGCAGATACGGAGCGAGGTAAGGAGCATTCTGATGCAATAAAGCGCAGCAGACGGGAACTAAACTCTGTAGGTCTGGAGTGGAAGCTTGAACTGACATCAAAACGTGCATTATCAGCGACTCTTACAAGAATCACTTACTTCGCGTTACACAAACATAAAAAGTTATTTCTCATTACATCGCTCCAAGACCAGCGTTTCAAGCATCAAATGTTCAATAAGGAAAAAGATCAATTAACTGCTCAGGTGCCGAATAAAGTGAAAGACGGTGTTGCTCCAATGCTTCTTCTTCTAGTTCCATCCCCAATCCCAAAGGCCCAAATCCCTTCCAACTCTTTAACATACCTCTGCGCCAGTCCCTCCCCATGGCCCAATGTCCTCCCATCCCTGCCTGCTCTCACCCACCAGTCGGCAGTCACCATCCTTCTTCTTCTTCTTCCTTGCCAGCTTAGGCCGGGTCCCGCGGGGCCCGGCCCGTCTCCACCAGGAAGTCTACGATGAGGTCAGCTTCGGTGGAGAATATCTCCCCCAGCGTCGGCAGGGGGCCCCACCGGCGGGTCCGAGGCCCATGGTGTGCGGGGCAGTCCATCACCTCAATACGGTCCCCGCTTATCCCTCCCCCTATCCTACCCAGGCCTCTACTCTAGTCTCTAGGCCACTCACCCTGCACGGTGATGGTCTGCTGACCTCCAAACAGGCCCGCCTGCGCCAGCTGCAGCGCCATGGTCTGGCCGGCAGCCTCGGCTCCGGCCGCCGCCGCCGTGGCCTCCTTGCTCTCCTCCTCGGCGGGAGAGGTCTGCGCCGAGCCCATCACAGACGTGGTGGAGGTGGTGGTGGACAGACTGGTCGGCTGCCCGGCGGAGACGGGATGTTAGCGATACATGAGCCCAGGAACGGGGACAAGCTAACTAGTAGAGCAAGAAGCAATGCCCATCAGAGAGTAACGACATGACATGTCCTTAGATATTGAAGGATATATTCACACCACCCAGTGCTTCAGCAGGACCATTTCAACGAACACTTAACAACTTAAATGCAAGCCACATTTGATATCCCAGTGTAGATTAAATCGAGCACACCTAGCACTCCTGTTAACCTCATCACACTAGCCCGTCCAGCCCCGTACGTTTACTCCGATGCAGACGCACTGGCACTGGACTGTTTCCGTACAGACTGATAAAGATATGAATATGAGGCCCTTTTATCGACGCTCGGGCACTCGGCCGTACCTGGCTACTGGTGGAGGCGGCGGTGGCGGGGGCGGCGGCGGCCTGCTGCAGCGAGGCCAGGTGATGGGCCGGTACCACCTGTACCTGCTGCAGCTGGCCGCCGGGAGTCAGCACCTGGGCGTACTGCGGCATCTGAGACACGCACACGGGACGCAACGTCAGACGGGTAGCGGGCCGATGGGAACCACCCATCGCCGAGGGCAAACAGCGAGGTGTGGAGCGCCTCGGTTAAACACATTACACTGCGGAGCCTGTTTACCAATTCCGCAGGATCGGTCTATGGAGGCCACTGAATGAAACATGCAGTAAAAAAAAAAAAAAAAAATACATCAAGTGATACCTCGACAAAAGAAACAATCACAAAAATATACCTTCATCATCAACAGGAAGAGATTCTTCAGGCACAAAAGCAACAGAACAAAGCCTCTCGCCCCTGCCCCTCCATGGCCACCCCAGTACCCTCCCCTCTCCGCATCCCTGCAAACACTCACAGCACCGCCGACCTGGATTTGCGGCATCAGTTGGAGCTGCTGGGCGCCTCCAGCGGCCGCCACCGGCAGCTGCACCGTCTGGTAGACGGTCTGCCCGCCAGCCGTCGACATGGGGATCTGTACGGAGATGGTCTGCATGCTCTGCTGCACCGGCACCTGCACAAACTGGATCCCGTTCGGCGTCTGCACCTGCAGCTGCCGACCTGGAGACGTCGGGAAGGGCGTTAGGGAAGGGCGTCAGGGGCAGTGTTCTAAAATTGGATATTGGTTGGGTGTGCCGATGAAGAAAAAAAAAATCCTAGGATGAGAAAAAACAAAGTAAATAACTGCAGTATTTTTGCAAAATGGTGTAATGCCAATTTTTTATGCTAACTGATAAACCAGGATTTCATGTCAGGATCTTGACAGGGTGTGGAACAAAAGGATGTGGGTGCATCAACTGTCAAGTGACAAGTGAACTGGCTGTTGGGAATACATGAAACTCTTTTCAGAGATGAAGTAAAGTCGGTCATTCATATTTTAGGGATGAAAATATTTTCCCCATTAGGTGTGATTTGCCACCAAAAAGGCTTAAAAATGAAACACTGGTCAGGGGAGGGCGTCAGGAAAGGCGTCAGGGTAGGGCGTCAGGGGAGGCAGTTGGTAGGGCGTCAGGGGAGGGCGTCAGGGAAGGAAGGCGTCAGGGAGGGCGTCAGGGGAGGGCGCCAGGGGAGGTGTCGGAGAACCGGCGATAGGGACGATTACTGGCGTCTGAGGAGGGTTATACTGGGAGAAACTACGTCGGACGGCGCACACCACCATCCAGAACGAGACGCCACCAGCCTCGTACATAGCATCGTCGCGAACAGTCATATGTAGGTAGGTGTAGAACTTCTAGATAGGTAGCACAACTGATATTTTGAACATGCATACATAAGTTAGCTGAGTTTGATGCTAAAACCAAGAAGAAACACTGTAGTCCTAGTCAAACGCATAGCAATAATAGAGTTGCGAATAGGCAGCACTTTAACTATTTAAATGTTGCTAGTGGCTAAATGATTAGGCTTCAACTTGCAAGAGGCAGTAGAAACATTGGCATATCACCACATCTCCAAAACATGGCAAGCAGACTAAAGAGGCCCTGCTGACTGACAGTAACATCCTGCCACTTACCGGGACTGAGGGAGATGGCCTGTGTGCCGACGCTCTGCACAACGTTGGAGCCAATTAGGTTCTGGGGCCGCACCAGCTGGGCACCAGAGAGGAACTGAGCACCAGACACCTGGCCAAAAAGGAGAGCACACAGTGAGATTCTCCACAACAGCTTCACAATAACGTAACAGATCCACACACCAATTCTGATCAGTGCCCCACAGACTGCAGGTAGGTACAGCGATAGTGCAAACAAAACCTGTGAAAAATATGTCATTGTTTGTGTTTGGCACCATCATTCAAAGATATCACCAAAACCATGAACAAGGTAAATCATGTAGCTGGTTGATGAGTAAACAGCATCACTTAACGACAACACATCACTCATCACTTACAAACAAATCAAATCAAATCCCTCACTCACCAAACTTCCATGGGTGCCAGCTGGGATAAAGGTGGCTTCCTGACCATCGAAAGTGATGGGCACTCCCGAAGAGGCTATTATCTGCGGCTGAGCCTGCTGTTGCTGCTGCTCCTGCTGCTGCTGTTGCTGCTGTTGTTGTGGGCTACTCTGGGAGCTATTTGGCATTTTGACTTCTGAACAAAAGTGCTGGTCTTCCAGAGACAACACTGAAATATGATATAATAATAAGGCACAGAAATTCATAAAATCAGCATACAAGCCATTCGTGTTGCATGATGTCATTTTTAATATAACTTGTCCTCCTTCCTTACTTATGGTTGGTGAATTGAAGATCAGAAAAATAAGGGATCAGATAAAAGTAAGCTTACATTAAATCAATTGTCATACTTGCTGCATATAGGTAGGTACTAGGTAGGTAGTATCAATTTTCAACATTCACCAAGCAAGGACAAATGGGCCCTTTCTGGACTTTCTTTTAAAAAGTCAGCATTACATTAGGCTTTATCTGACATTTCACACGGAAAGGTCCTGGCCTGAGTAAAATGCCTACATTGAACTGAATATCTTTGACTTTGATTGTTTAAAAACATCACTTTTGAAAAGAAAATTGGCATCATCATATAAAAAGTTCCCCTTTAGGATGACCTTCTATTCATTCAATTTTTATCCTTGGAAAAATATAAAAAGTTAATTGAACTTCCAGTCGACTTTCTATGACTATATAATTTTAAAAACTAAGCAAAGTGAAGAACTTAATGATGATAAGGAAATGAAATACCTCAAGTTTTAAAGAAGGAAAATGTGGAGGTCTAGCCCTAGTAGGTACCCACCCAACCAAACAATGGCATGCCAAGACAGTGATTTTCCGAACCAGCCGATCACAAAGAAAATAATCAATAATCATATTGATATGGTTGCAAGAGCATAGCTGAGAAAAAAATAAATGTACTAAAACAGCTATTTCAGGTTTAAATGCTGCTTTGTAAGCAAGGTTGCTAGGATTTTACAAAAAATCAATCATAGGTAATAGGTATATGCCCATGCGTACTAAATGAGACAGATGTTGCGCACCTATATTAACTAGATTAACACTTTAAAACCAACACATTGTCAAAATCGAGAACTGTGAAAACCCCTAGCGTCCAAAACTTGTCTCACCTGAAAAATGTTTTCACCAGCAACACCGAAATTACAATCACGAGGGCAGCCTCTCGCCACGCCACAAGCACATCCCCGTTTCGTCAGAAGGGCGGGCGTCTGTGAAAAACAAATTTCAAGAAAAGAAGAGCAATTTTCATAAAATGGCAAATCAAGTTGTACACTATTTTTGTTAAGACAAAATAGCACAAATATAAATCAAAAATGCAAAATTCACCATGAAAATAACGAAAATAGTAAGAACTATATTTTGCGTATGCCTACTAATGCGCACTAGTCCAGTCCCCTTGTTCGTGATTGGTGAGTGAGGCGGGGCCCGGGTGAAAGTGGATAGGCGCGGTCACCCCCGTCCCACCCACTTTGTCCTTCGGCGCCGCCTAAAATCCGGAAGAGGCAGGGCTAGGGGCGGGCCCAGCGCCGCTCGTCGCCGCCCTGCCGGAAAAGGGGCTGGCTGTCCGGGCGCGGCCGGACGGTGGGCGGGGAACCGGCATAGGAGCATGGGTTCAAGGACCTCCCTTATCTGATGCGCTCCGCGCGTCCGACGGTGCCGCCGACGGGCGGATGGCGTTAGTCCCGCCGACTGGCGGAGGAGTCCTAACGATTGCGAAACTGCTATTGATCGGATAAAAATCGAGCGTTTTTACCGGCGTGATCGGTATTCGGTGGTATCGGCCGTTGGTGCTCGCGGGCCTTCGGGTGCGACTGCTTGGCGGTTGGTCCCAGAGTTCCGGACTCGGGAGTCGGAGTCGGGGACTAGGGAGTCGCCCGGAGTCGTGGAGACTAGCCAGGAGTCGGAGCAGCCGAGCTGTAAAATAGCCCTGGCACTGCGGACGTCGCGGGGTTGCGACATGTCACATTTTAGGACCGTGCAGACCATGCAGAGGTAAGAGGTTCATCTAAATTAGCACAACATCAAAGGTCAGTGACCTGACCTGACCTGAAAATACCTACACGCAGCTATGACGTCACAAAGGTAACAAGGTCAGCCGATTTTGTACGAAATTGTAGGTTACGTTACCTACATTTTGACATTGTTTGGGTCAAAAGAGACTGACATGGCACTGACACACCCTCTATTGACCTATGTAAGGTCAAGGTCAGGTCAAGTTCACGTCAGTGACCTCTGTCCTCTGGTGACCTCTTGCAGTTTGACCTTCCGAGGCTAATTTTTGGTCCTGAATTCAAATCTGACGGCCAAATAAAGCTCAGACACTTGGTTTATTGAGGGTTTCAGGGTCAAGAAGAGGTCACCAACAAGTTAGAACACGTTTTCGACCCCAACTGTCAGACGGCATTTTCGGCCACCGGGGCACGGATGTGACCCCGCCGGCTTCCGGGCGCTCTGCCTCTGCCCCGGAAGTTATCGGGTAAAATGTAGGTATTACACTTTGCACCAAAATGCTTAAAATTCATCAAGTAATAGGGGAAGGTGGGGTAAGACGGCCCAGCGGGGCAAGATGGACCACCAGCCCTCCCGGCTGAACCGCTGCTGGTATCTACTGCTTTATGCACTCACTATGTTTGTTTTCCTTCGTAGCAATGGCCACCTTGAGCTCATGCTGCTAGGATGCATAGTTTTTGAGTTATTGAGAAAAATGTTGTTTTTCGTCAAACCGATCTTATATAAGAGGTCTACGGGTGATTCAATTACGGCGCCTTTCTTGCATGATTAGTTTCTATTTTGCACTTAACTGTGAAGAACAAAGCTATAAACTTAGTTATAGTCACACTTTAGGAAAGGCAAGGTTTTGCAATGTTGGGCTATTTGACATATACATCATGATAATGACAGAATTTAGATTTGGGGCAAGACGGACCACTGTGGTCCATCTTACCCTGTGGTGGTCCATTGTACCCTGCATATGGAAAGTTCTTTTCCAAAACATTGACACAAGTTTAAGTAAGCTAATTTTTCAGGAAGGAGTCTTTGTTGCATGTGAGCCATACATGCAAGTGCTCAGTTAGCATGCATTCATGCCAAACGACAATCAACACACATGTTCCTAGCTTTTAGCTGCACTTCCATCGCACATGAGTAAAGAATAAAGGCTCATTTTGTTGTTTTACCATTCTGGTTACTTTTTCTTACAAGAGTACAGAGCAGAAGTGTAACACACATGAACGGATAGCAGGCACTGCAGGGTGGTCCGTCTTACCCCACGTTTTTTCTTGTCTGAGTTTTTGACATGTCCCTCTTTAACAGCATCCACCACCTAGATGTCTTTAATTTGAAATTTAGTCTTTACACATATCAACAGAGGAAGGATTGAGCATTCCGAAGACTATAAATAATATGAATTACGAGAGCAGTGTAGCAAGATATGCGGCCTCAAACCTTAGCTGGTCCGTCTTACCCCACCTTCCCCTATGACATTGAAATTTGAAAACCTCATGTCGATATCTGCTACCCATATCAACGACGCTACAGGCGCGCAAAATTAAATTTCGCGACCTCTAGACGAGAGCAATACGCTGTTTTTCTGCTAAGCTCTACGACGCCGCGTTTCGAAACGGCAGAGGGGTCGTACCCCCCCCCCCTCCACTGGGAAGGATGGCGAAATGCCGTCCACGGGCGAGGGTTAAATTTTTGAAGTGCAAAGTTCTTATGCGCCGACTCGGGCAACTTTTATAACGGTAATACCTAGGCGTACGCATTCGTGACGCATGCCCAATAAATGTGAATTATTATGTCACATGACATTACGTTACCATATAGTTGTAGAGAAACAACAAGTCTAGTTCAGACAGAATGGCGGTGGCCAATAGGGAACTTGTAGCATTTTCCGCTGATAGTTCGGCTTGATTTCCGGTGATATTTGTGCTCCCGGTACTTATTTGATGTGAACGGATTTTGTTGTTGAGGTCAGAGGTGAGATGAGCATTAAAAAAAACATGGCAAAAATCCATTCACAATATAGCTAAAAAGTAAGAAGTGTGCTCATGGTCGGGAAGAGCAGGGCGAAAAGCAGGGAGCGAGGTAAAAAAATCAGGAGTTATTTTTTAACTATAACGAGGGGGTGAGAGCAAAGAGGGCGAGGAATTTAACCCGTGTACCGACGGGGATCTGCGCCAACTTAGAACCGACGGGGGGAGCGGATGACCGCCCCCCCCCTGAGATCTCGAGAACGAAGCAAGATAGCGACAAGCGGTAAACGGCATGGGATACGCACGGACAAAGTCTACAATTTTTACTAAGGTCATTTTCAGGTCAGGTCAAAGATGACGTCACAGGGGTAAAAAATGTCCAAATGGCGGCGCTACCTACATATGGAGAGTTTTTCTCGAATAACTTTCGAACTAGTACGATAGGAACAAACTAAGGGCATTATCGTGATCCTCTCCGCTCTCGTCAATCCGCATCGATATATATATATATATATATATATATATATATATATATATATATATATATATATATATATATATATATATATATATATATACATATATATATATATATATATATATATATATATATATATATATATATATATGTTGACCTCGAAAGGTCAAGGTCAAAGGTTGACCTCAGGTCACGTGACCTCGAGGTCATCATGTATATCATTCGATGCGCATTGACGAGCGGAACACAATGAGTCCATCCGCGCGGCTGTATCTTGTTCCTGTACGGAGTTATTGGCAAAAAAAACTTTGGTGACCTTTGATGACGTCACATAACCTTACAGCTGCCCAACAGCAAAACAGACCTCAAGGTAGTGAAGGTTGATCGTATGTGAAGTCATGTATGGTTTAGGGTAGAGTGGGGCAAAGCGCCCAGGGCGGGCAAAACGCCCACCCCTCTTATTTGTAAAATGCTCGACTTTTCAAAGAATCCTTGATAGCCATTTTGCAGAACACGCAGGAATCTGTTTGTACTCCCTTTTCTGGTACCACGAGTGGGGTGTTCCGGACGTGAGATAAAGATAACTACATCTGTGACATTTTTAGGAATTACATGCTTTCTTACTGCTAAAACTTTGTCTGATAGAGATTAAAGAAGGCAATGAAATTTCGCCATATCGAACCTGTAGATTTAAGCTATGCTTTGAGCATTTATTTGTTTGCAAGACAATCGTGAGAGTCTTGATTTTGGTGGACATTGTTTTAAATGTGCTGTTGGGGTAGGTAATACGCCCACTTTAGCGTGGGGCAAAGGGCCCATCCTGGGCCAATGGGAGTTATACAGCACGGGCAATAGCGTGAATTTTGGGCTCAAAGTGAGTGGCGGGATACGTTTCTGATGCTCAGGATTCTAATTATATATGATATTTTCTTGTTAGTATCGTCTGAAACGATTTACCTATCGCTAGAACTGATCTACGCTCCCCAAGGCAGTGATAGGCACTGACTGAATGAGGAGCGGGGTGGCGACAGCAGTGTTTAAGATGTTTTTAATGGTGGAATTTGTCGAGTCGAAGTCTAACGAAATGAGAAATGGATGAATGCTACATTATTTTACCAGAGTAACAAAAGTGTGATGAAACGTTCAGGACTGGGCGTTATGCCCCACTCATATGGGCGTTATGCTCTACGGGTGGGGCAAAACGCCCGATTTGTAGTCCTCTTAAATCGGACGACATATCTAAAAAGCTATACATGCCACATGTTTCTGATGTGTTATTCGAAGAAAGCCTAGTTAATGAGCTACCAGATCAGCTACCTGGTTGTCCTTCAAATTTGTTAGATAAAGAGATACCTACTGAGGCTGGAAAGTTAGGGTGGGCGCTTTGCCCCACCCTACCCTATGGGGCCATTCCCACAGGTTTTAGTGGTAAAAACAGGGAGTTGATTTTTCCCCTATTGACTTATAATGGGGAGGTCGAGAAATTGACCTGACCTTAGGTCGTCGATATCAACCCTCGCCCGTAAACGGTGTTTTGCCACCTTCGCCCATGCAGGGGGGGGGTGCGATTCAGGGTTTGAACACCCCCTGGCGTTTGAAAACGGAGCGTCGTAGAGCTTAGCGGAAAAGACCAACGGATTGCTCTCAACGAGATCTCGCGATTGGTGGTATATTTTTTTGGTCCTAGGTCAACATTTGACCTACTTATGACCGGTCAAAGGTCAAATTTTCGGAAAAATCCAACTTTTTCAGATTTCCGCGCCGATTGCGGCAAAACGGTAAGAGATATCGACTTGAAACCTTCACTATCGTGATCCTTGATCAATTATCTATCGTTTGGTGTGTATTTCGATGCCATAACTCTAAAAATGATGCGTTGAAAGCAT